TTCACTCGATCAACTCCGAACAGTGCGAGAGCAAAACGTGTGTGTTGCCGAGTCCATGTTTGAACAGCAAATCCTCCCACGGTACTCCTCGGCTCACGCACCTGCGAATTGCGGCCGGAGTACTCATGGTTCCAAATAATTGCGGGCCACCACTGGACGGGCAGCACGAGTCGGGTGAGTCGCGCGAGTGTTGCTATCTATCGCGATCCGCCACCGTCTCGCGCGAGTCATGAATTACGAATTTGTACGTTAATTATACGCGCAACTTATCGGCTAATATGTACAACAGATAATGATGACGCGAACATTTAATATATACAGGCGAGCGCCAAACATACCGCTCACCAAAATACAATGCTTAGTATTTTTTTGTGTTTTTACTCGGAGTCTGCGTCCCGTGGTGTGCCCGTCGGCAAGGGGCGCAGCTTAACCGGGGGACGCGAGATCGAGCCGTCCGCCACCCGAACCGTGGCGACACGCGGGACGCCATCGCTACCGAAATGTAGCGGTTCTACACGGCCGCGTTTCCAACGCAACGGGAACGCGTTGTCGTCTTTAGTGGCTGAGTCTGCCGCCCACCCTGAGAAGTCCCGTTGGGTCTAGAAATGGAGCGAGTTAGCTGAGGGACTTGGGTAGTCTTTTCCCGTTCCCCAGTCGATCGATCCCCTTACCGAAGGACCCCAGCTGAACCAATTTTACCACCGCTAGTAGCGCCGAATGCGCTTCGAGTTGATCCACGGCCAAGGTCGCGGGCACCGGCTTAGCCCTGGATCGAGTCGCAACCTTAGAGATACACGATTACCCTACGAATTTTATCTAACGACGAATCTGCTTATTTGTAACGAGATTTGAACGAGTGGATTTGTAAAATCCACGAAAAGCGAAGGCTCGGACACAAATGGATGCGAGACAACAAAGCGACCGAATGATGGCGCTAATGGGTTTGTCAAGCGAATCGAGATAATAGGGCGCGCGTGTGAGCAACATTTGTTGACGACCTCCGACGGAGGTCTGGCCGCTTGGCGGCACCCGCAGCCCTCTGTGAGCGCGGGAGAAGCGCGAGTCCTACGCCAAGACGTCGGTAAAGTTTGGCCTCCGAATGAGGTCCGGCCGTTTGGCGACACCCGTAGCCCTCCGTGATAGCGGGAGGAACCATGGTGATCGCCAAGACGGAGTTATCCACGATACCGAGAGTGTGTGGTGACTCGCCAATTATGACCTCCGAGTGAGGTCCGGCCGTTTGGCGACACCCGAATGGTGACGCGCCAAGACGGCGGTAATGCGGTCCTACCGTTCGGCGTCACCCGAGTGGTGACACGCCAAGACGGCGGTGTCCTCGGACATCGTGAGTGTACGATGACTCGACGGTGCACGATAATGGGGCGAGGGTGTAGGGCCTCGCCCTCGTTCAACGAGCTACGATTACGCGAATATCTTCGCCGCGAACGTGCCCATGCGACGTGCGGACGAGAGACATCACGCGTGACGATGTGTGACCTTCGAATGAGGTCCAGCCGTTCGGCGACACCCTAAGCCCTCCGTGATAGCGGGAGGAACAATAGTGAGACGCCAAGACGGCGGGAGTCGAAGACCTCCGAATGAGGTCCGACCGTTTGGCGACACCCGAAGCCCTCCGTGATAGCGGGAAAACGATGGTGCTACGCCAAGACGGCGGTAACGAGGTCCTACCGTTCGGCGCCACCCGAGTGGTGAAGACGGCGGTGTCCAAAAGCACCGTGAGTGTATGGTGACTCGACGGTGCACGATGAGTCGTAAGGGACCCGGGACGGGGTGAGTGTGTAAGACTCGATCTCGTCCAAGCGAACTACAATTACACGGATATTATCACATTCAATTACACATATTGTCGCCGCGAACGTGCCCATGCGACGAACGGGCGAGAGACATCACGCGTGGCGAAGGGCGCGCGATTATGTCTCGAGGTAATGCTCGCTTAGTGTCCGCCTGTATTCTCCGGTGCCGCGACGTCAACGACCGGAGTGACCGCCAAAGCGGTCGCGAGAGACGGGACGCTAGCCTGCTCGAAGTGCAGGAGACAGTGGTGCTTCGCCTGACAGGACCGGCAGGTCCAAAGGCTAGGGTAAGTCTTCCAGTTATGGCCCGCGCAAAGGCAATTCAGACAAAGTCCCCGTTTGCGAGCGAAGCTATGCCGTTCTTGGGCCGAGAGCTGCAGGAAAACGGGGCACTTAGCCAGCAGATGCTGCTCCGTGCATTTTGGGCACGCGGCGCTTTGAGCGATGAGTAAAGTAGTCGACGCGGTTTTCGTTGACGGCTGAGGTTTTGCTTTACTCGACTGTGCCGAAGAGTTGGATGCCGACGCGAGAACCGTGCAGTATCCTGCTAGAAATCTCGTTAATTGATCATACCGCAGCGATTCCACGGTCATGTGGGCCGCTTCGAACTTCTCCCGGAGCGTGGGAGTGAGCTTTTCGAGTAACTGATTAAGCAGCATGAAGTCCCACGCGTTGACAGGATAATCCAGCATACTCAGGGCGCGCGTGTTCTCGGTGAACACATCCAGCAACGCGCGGAGGGATTCGGCAGAATCCGCAACCAAAGGTTTGGCGTGTACGAACGAACGCCAGTACTGCGTCGCTAATTTGCGCATATTCTGGTAGCGCTCTCGAAGCGCATCATACGCGATCTCGTAATTTTCTGCGGTCAATGGCAGGTTTCTCACCACGCCGAGAGCCTCCCCCGATAGCGAGGCCAAAAGTATTGATATTTTTCGATCGCGGACACACTGCGATTTTCGTGGATCGCCTGGTTATACAGCGCGATAAACGACGGCCATTTGTCATGATCACCGTTGAATTGAGGAAGAGCGATCTTCGGTAATTTAGTCGCGGAGTGATGCACCGGCGGCGCGCCTTGCGCGGGTTCGTCGGTCCCCCGCGCGGGAACGAAGCTTTCGTAACGCCCTATTACCGCGAACCGCATTGTGTCAAAGTCGTTACGTATCACGTCTTCTTGGGCAAATTCTTCATCCGTAGCGTCTTGGATTATTTGGAGGTGGGCTTCCTCAAAATCCTGAACTAATTGAGCTACCGCCGGATACCGAACAAGGAAGGTTGGCCTCATGGCCACGTTGTCTACCGCGAGCATCGAATATTGATGCACTTCCTGCATGCGCCGAATGCACAGCTCGCGGCGCCGCGCGCTGCTGCCTCGAGTCATCTTGAAATCGGAGTACAAGATGTACTTGTCTCAAATTGAGGGCCGTTCGTGAACGCGCGACGCAACCCGTGTTATGCTCGTCAGCCGGTAGCGAAAATATGTACACAACGATACACAACGCACGAACGAAGCAACGAGTTCAAAAGTCGAGAGAATTTAAGGGGTGGCAGCCAGCACAACAAACGCAAGAAGTATGTCTCGCTCCGGAATGCGGAGACCAAACAAGCAGTACAATGAGCGAAAGCCGCGCCGCTCGCCAAGGTCGAGAGGGGGGGCGGACGACTCGAGCTTGAAAACAAAAATTGATGGCGATGAAAGGTTCACGAATAGTCGGTCGCCTTTCGCAATTAATTTTTCAAATGCAAAATCCGCAACGATTATGCGGCGATTAGCTCGAGAGATCGGAGTAATGGCGTGCGCGCGAAATGAAACAATGAATACGCGAATATATTTGCCGCGACGTGCCGATGCGACACGCGGACAAGATATACCACGCGAAAGGCACACACCGATTATCTGATTTCAATGTCCCGATGGACCGCGAGATCAATGTTCGATTAATGAACCAAACAAGATGGTCGAGTGATAGCACGCGCGCAAGCAATTACCTTTACGCGGATATCTTCGTCGCAACGTGCCGAGTGCGACGAAGGACAAGAGATATCACGCAGGGCAAGGGAGCACGCGCCGATCACACGATGCAAGAAAATTCGAATAATGGCCCGCACGCAAGCGAGATCACAATAACGCACGCCGATTAGTCGAATGCAATGACAAATGCTTATGCGGAGTTCCGAACGAATCGCGTGAAAGGTCGGCGGAAGCTTCTAGACGCGAGAAAGAAACATCCGGCTCGAAGGACCAATGCTCGGGGGGGTGTCAATCGCCCCGGATTTGCGATCGGTCAATGAGATTTCGTGGTTCGAAGGACCAGAGGGGCAATCCCCTCACAATTTTAATTAGACGAATAAAGCGAGATAGCAAACGAAAAAGCGACTCACCGTGTCGTTGTCCGATGTTCTCTTGGTAGCCTCGTGGCGTCCGGTCCTCCCTGTGGTGATGGAGAGCGGAAGGCGTGCAGCAGGCTAGGATGTGCAGGCACTCACGTGCCGCAGCAGGCAGGCAGGCAAAACGTGCAATACGGGCAAGCAGGCGATAGAGCAGGCACATGTGCAAAAGGCAAGCACGCAAGGCCCGAGATTACTGAAACGACTTGTCGAGCTCCGAAAGTGCGAGTTTACTCGATCAACTCCGAACAGTGCGAGAGCAAAACGTGTGTGTTGCCGAGTCCACGTTTGAACAGCAAATCCTCCCACGGTACTCCTCGGCTCACGCACCTGCGAATTGCGGCCGGAGCGAGTACTCATGGTTCTAAATAATTGCGGGCCACTCGTGGGCGGGCAGCACGAGTCGGGTGAGTCGCGCGAGTGTTGCTATCTATTGCGATCCGCCAACGTCTCGCGCGAGTCACAAATTACGAATTTGTACGTTAATTATACGCGCAACTTATCAGCTAATATGTACAACAGATAATGATGACGCGAACATCTAATATATACAGGCGAGCGCCAAACACGTAATATTAGTCGTTTATGCCTCTCAGCTATGCTACTTAAAATAACTGCTATATTTTCGAAACTTTTTTTGTTTATAACTTTTTAATAAAAAACGAGCGACGGCTAAAACCTTCTGAAGGTCACTCAGGAGGGTGACCTTGACAACATATGTCAAGATCAAGGTCATCGGACGTGCTTCCCCTAAACTGCATAATTACCAAAATTTTTTCCGCGTCGAAAGTTTGTAATATCTTAAGTAATATTGTTTCTCCGAATCTCAAAGTAAGTGATGCTAAAGAGTAGGGCAAAGTGGGGGACATTGATACAGCAGGAACATTGATACAGTCATCATATCTCTACATGAGAAGCATCTAAGAAGGTCACGTATCCATGCATAAATGACATTATGATACACGAATAACCTAACCTCGTACGCGAGCAGTAGCCACTTGATGAATGACAGGTATAAACGTGTTTTGTGTACTCTCAGGTAAATATTTTCAAAGTCTTTGAAGCGTAATTTTTTACATTAATCTGATAAATACTAAACAAATATTTTGTCAAAGGTAAGAAACAGCCCAGTAAGCAATTTGATAGCAAATTGTCGCCAAGATGGCATCAAATTCGTTCAAAGACTGGTGTCAAATCCGGTGCCATCTGTGTCATCTTTAAGCTCGTGTTTTGCTAGCAAAGCCTGTGTACATAACCAGACAGCAAATTGGCAGCAAAAACCGAGCAAGCTTTGTGTAGCGTTGTCTGCCAACAAATTGTCGGCAAATACCGAGCAAGCTTTGTCTAGCGTTGTCTACCAACAAATTGTCGGCAAACACCAAGCAAGCTTTGCGTAGCGCTGTCTGACGACAAATAATCGGCAAAAACCGAGCAAGCTTTGCGTAGCGCTGTCCGACGACAAATAATCGGCAAAAACTGGGCAAGCTTTGCGTAGTGCTGTCCGACGACAAATTGTCCTCAAAAACCGTGCAAGAAATGCGCGTAAAAAAAAAATTATATTTATTTCAAAATTTTATTACTATTTTTTAACTAAATTTGTTTCTTAAGATGCAGTCTATAATTATAAATATTTTCTCGTATTTGAAAAACACACTTATTACTTTGGTAGGATTCGAACTCGGGACCTCGGGACCTCTGGATCGTGAGCCAACTGCCTTACGTGGTAGACTACTTCTTAATTTAATGTAAGTGTTATATATAGTCTACATACGTCATAATCAGCGCAAATATATAATTTTTTAAAAATCATTTTAAGAAACAAATTCAGTTTAAAAAGAGTAATAAAATTTTGAATTAGATATACGAATATAATTTTTAAAACAGCAGACTAGGAAGAGCTAAAGAACTACTGGCGCTGAGCAAACAAAAACTGAGAGTGGCGGTGATACCGTACCGTATCGATTGTGCGGTCGGCAGACCGCCACATACAGTATATATAGTTATTAAACCGGATTTTGTGTAATAACCATGTTATTATAGCTAGTCTATATGACCGCGCGTGCTCATTATTTAATTTGTTCAATGTTCATTTAATTTAATGCGTTTAACGAGGAACAGTGTTATCTAGCAATATATATAGGTATATATAACAATATAGAACAATAAAAAGATTACTGAATATAAAGTATTTTCGAATACTTTTATGCTCATTATACACTGTTCCTCGTTAAACGCATTAAATTAAATTAAATGTATATACCCAGATAGCCAAACCTGAGCAGCAGATTCTAAGCAGAGTTTGCATTAAATTTTTAGTATCAGAAAGGCAACAAATTGCACGCGGAAACTGCTCTATCAGATGATGTTGTCAAACTGTAGCCAGAAATGCGACAGAGCCTGCTGACAGGCAATGTGAGCAGATTGGCAGCAGAAACCGCGTAGAGCCTGCGCGCTCGACCTGAGAACAGATTGGCAGCAAAAACCGAGCAGACTTTATCCATACCCATACAGCACAAAATATTTTTTAAATATTTTTTAGAAAGATTAAAATAATTTACAAAGCCAGGTTTTGTATGCAGGCTCTGCGCGGTTTCTGTTGGCAATCTACTTACATTGCCTGTCAGCAGGTTCTGTCGACAGAATACGAGCTTAATGCGGACACAGATGGCTATGGTTTTGGTGTGGGATTTTGATCAAATTTGCTGCCAATCTGCGCGCATTCTGCTAACATTTTGCTATCTGGGTAAGAATGAAAAAATATATAATTAATATTATTATATTGTTAAATTGTGATAGGTCTTGCTCGGTTTTTGCCGCCAATTTGTCATCAGACAACACTACACAAAGCTTGCTCGATTTTTGCCACCAATTTGTCGTTAGGCAGCACTGTGCAGACCTTGCTCGATTTTTGCACCAATTTATCATTAGACAGCGCTGCGTAACAGTGGGAGACGGTGACGTTTTAATTTTGTTAGATGTCACTTCTCTTTTCACTAACGTACCTAAAGATCTTGTTTTGAAAGCAATTGAAGAGAGATGGAATTACATCACTACAAAAACTGATCTCAGCCTTCCGCAATTCTTGAGTGCTGTAGACTTGATCCTTAGTTCTACTAGTTTTATGTTCAACGGCCAATTTTATGAACAGATCTTCGGAAGCCCGATGGGGTCTCCCCTCTCTCCTATCTTGGCTGACATGGTCATGGAGGATTTAGAGAAGCATTGTATACAGCGGCTCAGTTTCAGGATATCCTTTTTCAACCGATATGTGGATGATATTTTCGCGGTTGTTCCCAAGTCGGGTATTGGTGAATTATTAGACAGTTTCAACAATTACCACGATAGATTAAAATTCACTTACGAAATGGAAAGCAATGGTAAATTGAGTGTCCTTGATACCACGGTCATCCGCGAGGGAGGCTCA